TAGATAGATAGATAGATAGATAGATAGATAGATAGATAGATAGATAGTCTTAGGGATCCCAATTCTCACTTCAGCCACCAAGCAGATAGGACTGCACAAAGGATTCTTGGTTTCTTAATGATTCTCCTTTTGCAGGTTTTAGAATAAGGTGTTTGGTCCTTTGCTCCCTCCCTATGAAGGTTACCCAGTGATCTGGGAGCACACCAACCAAAGGATCTGATCACTCTTTTCTTTCTCTCCTCCCAACCCACTCCTATCCTCTTACCTTTTAAAATATAGTCATGTAGAATAATAAGACCTTAGAATGGAAAGGAGCCTTAGAGGTCATTAAGTCCAACCTTCCACCTTCAGCAGGGATTCCTTTCAAACCATCCTTCAATGAGCCCCAGGATCTCAAAGCTAGAAATAATCTCAGAAGACATCTTTCTAGCCCAATCCCTACCTGAACCAGGAGTCCTCTGTACACTATTGACTCTGAGAGTAGGGGCTGGGTTTTGGGTTTTGTTTTGCCTTTCTTTGTATCCTAGCACTTAGCACAGTTCCTGACACATGGTAGTCACCTGAAAAAAACTGTTTTTTGACTCATTAAGTGCTTATTGATTCTATATCTTTGGTTAACTCCACTTGAAGACATACGTCCACTGATGAGGAGCTCACTACTGCACGACGCAGTCCATTCCACATTTGGACAGCTCTGATTGTTAGCATACACTTAATTCTGAGTTGGAACCTTCCTCTCTGAATGTTCCACCTTTTGTTCTTTGTTCAGCCCTCTTATAAAGTGCTTTGTGAGCTTTAAAATGCTAAATAAATGCTAGTTGTTGTTATTATTATTATTATTATTATATATTACCTAAGCAGCCTATGTAAGTTTGGAAAGGCACTTCACTGGAAGGTGGGTCAACAGATTGTTTTTTTTTTCCAGCCATGGTGACTCCTGAAGCCATCTATTAAGATGGGGAGGGGATTATGATTTGTAGTCTATGCCAATAGGGGGGAGGGTAGCAGTAGTTCCCACACCACTGAAACCACATGCCCTGGGCCTCAGTTGCCCCATTTGTAAAATAAGTGAGTAGGACTAGATGACCTGAAAGATCCCTTCCAACTCTAAATCATGACACTAAGTATTTAAGGCAACTGGTTTGTGAGGGAATGGCTAGAAAGAAGTTAGTTAATCAGTAGTGTTAAGGAGGACCAGCACCTCTGGTGTGAGGTTTTTCAGGGCTGCTCATCCACCTGTGATGTCCACCTGTCACCCAACTCTCACCCGTGGCTCCGAGAAGCTGTAGCATTTACAGTGGGGCCACACCCCAGGAACCAGTCTCAGCAGACAGGGCTAAACCAGGTTGAGGGTAACCAATGGATCTCAAAGCTGTCGGTGAGTTGGGGAGGGGGGGTGTCTACCCCAAACACGTGAAGAGTTCCACTGAGGAAGGGGAGAATGAGAACAATTTGTCCCAGTGGCCATGAAGGCGGCTGAAGCAGGCACTGTGGAGTGCTTAGAGCTTGGTCAGACATAGAAGATGTCCAGGTTACCCATTGCATCCCAGGCCATCGTTGTCCTGACTTTTGCATTGGCACTGGACTCCAGTGACTCTGAAAGAGAGAATGAGGCTGATGACTTTGAGCACCTCTGCTTCACTTAAATTCAGTTCATGCATGAGAGAAGACATCACCCTGTCACGTCACTGGTCCTCTTCAGAAACTAAGGACAAAACAACAGTGCTAATATGAAGTGGTGTACAGGCTGTCCCCCATACCTGAAATGTTCCCCCTCCCAAATGATGCCTCCTGGAACTTCCAACACCCTTTGCATCTCAGCTCAAATGACACCCAGGATCATTGATTTAGAGCTGGAAAAAACCTCAATTCCATCAGGTCCAAACTCCACATTTTATAGAGGAGGAAACTGAGGCACAGAGCAGTTTAGTGTATTTCCCAGGGTCATACCTTCCACAAAAGGACTTTCATGATTCCCCCAATTGTTCATGCTTCATGCTCTCACCCTGTCCCACATTAACCATAAATTATTGTGTATAAACTCTCAGTTCCCCCAGGGAACTCTCTCAGAAGGATTCTTAAACTGGGGTCCATGGATCCATGAATGTCAGAATGTCTGTGAACTTGAATGGGGGAAGAATTCCAACTTTCTTTTCACTAATTTGTATCTGAAAATGAACATTTTTCTCAATTGTGATTTTTTTAAATATTCTGAGGAATCTTCTGAAGAGACTTCACCAAACTGCAGAAGAGGTCTATGGTATTTAAAAAATAAAAAGGCTAATAACCACTGGTGAGACTACAAGTTGTAGGGGGAAAGTACTGCTAAGCATGGGCAGAGGAAGTATCTCACTGAAAGCTCACCACGCAGATGAAATCCCAAGTCTAACCCCTCCCCCTCAAAAAAAAAAAGACATTTTGTATTTACTTAACTGTGCCCAAGTTATTTCTCCCATATATAGAATGTAAGCTTCATGAGGGTAGGAACTGTCACCTTTTTGTCCTTGTATCCCCGGCACCAAGCACATCAGGCTGCTTTATTTATTTATTTATTTTACATAACAGGCTCTTAATAAATGATAGTTGCATTGATTTTGTTGAAGCCCCAAAGACGATCGATTTCCTTCTGAGTGTTCATATGTTCTTGTTTCAGATCTTATCACTGAACCGTGTAGGATCATGGGGATCACCCTCATTGGCAAAGGGAAAGGGCCAGAATTTAATTTCACTGAAGCCAGAGATGCCTGCAGCAGGTTGGGTCTCCAGCTGGCCAGTAAAGCTCAAGTGAAGACTGCCCTTGATTCTGGCTTCGAGACCTGCAGGTGCCTGTGAATGGGACGCTTTCTACCCATGGTGCTCGGAAGACGGGGTTTCTCTTTTGCTGGGTTTAATGCCCAGATAGCTAATGGATTCTTCCTCTCTTTGCAGTTTCGGGTGGGTCTCTGACAAGTATGTGGTCGTCTCCCGCATTCTCCCCAATCCCAAGTGTGGTCAAAACAACACAGGTGTCGTGGAATGGAAACTGGCCCCCCACCATAAGCAGTATGCGCACTGTTACAACTCCTCAGGTCAGTGGGATGCTCTAGATAGCGAGCCTTCTCCTCTACTTGGTATTGGTGTGGTTCTGCCTTCCCAACCTGCCTCGAAAAAAAAAACAAAAATTAAAATAAAGGAAGCCTCTAAGCAGCTCAGGGAAACTTGCTTCAATTGAACAACAACAGTTAGTCCACCCACTTCTTTAGCAGTCCGGACTATGGCTTATATCAACCCCCAGTGTCAAAGACAGGGCTCTGCATGTAGCCAGTAGTCAATAAATGTGTGTTGAGTTAAATGTGCTTTAGAGGTAAGGACGGGGTTGAGCTAAGGGACGGATACTGTTGTTGCTGTTCAATTGTTTTTCCACTCATGTCCAAATCCTCGTGACCTCATTTGGGGTTTTCTTAGCAGAGACGCTGGAGTGGTTTCCATTTCCTTCTTCAGCTCATTTTACAGATGAGGAAACTGAGGCAAACAGGGTTAAGTGACTTGTCTAGTAAGTGGTCTGAGGCCAGATTTAAACTCAGGAAGATGAGTCTTCTTGACTTCAGGGCCAGCATTCTCATTCACTGCACTAAGAGATGGATACAAATCCCAATACTATATGGGAGGATATGTGTATTTAATCATAGGATTAAAGGTTTAGAGCCAGAAGGGATTTTACAGGTCGTGTAGTCCAATCCAGATGAGGAAATCAAAACCTGTAGAGGATAAGTGACTTGACCAAGGTCATACAGAGAATTAAAGATAGAGCAGAGATCCACCTCAAGTCCTGTGACTCCACATTCAGAACCTTTTTTTACTCCAATACTAACAAAAAACATGCAAACAAATTACCATTTAAGGTACAGAAAGGTCATCATGATCTCTGGACATCAGAAAAGGCTTTGTGGAGGAGGTGACTTTTTTTTTAGGCCTTAAAAGACGGGTAGAACTGCAACAGATAGAGTTGATTGAAAGAAAAGCTGGGAGCAGGACCACACAAGACACTTGCATTGAGCAGGAGGAGCTTAGGAGCATAGATATAGAGTGGAAGAGATCTGAGGTCATCTAGGGAGTCAGGGAGTCAAGTCAGCAAACATTTATTAAGCACCTACTGTGTGCCAGGCACTCTGCTAAGTGATGAAGATACAAAGAAAGGCAAAGAGAAAACAAACCAGTCCCTGCTCTCAAAGAATTCATAATCTAGTAGGAGAGACAACATGCAAACATTTTATAGATGAATTGGAAAGGTTTTTCATACATTGAAATACCACGAAATCCACGGTTAGAGGCCACTAGGTGGCCCAGTGGCTAGAACACTGGGCCTAGAGTCTAGACAGACTGATGTTCAAATCCAGCCTCACTTACTAGCTGTGTGACCCTGGGCAAGTCACTTAAAGTCTGCCTCAGTTTCCTCATCTTCAAAATAGGACTAATAATAGCAGAGTTGCAAAGATTGAGATAATATTTGGAAAGTGCTTGGCACATAGTAGGTACTTAATAGAGGTTTCTTTCTTTCTTCTTCCTATACATGTTGTTATCTGTAGACAGATTTATGGAGGCCATAGCCATGGATTAACTTTAAGCCTATCTCACGAAGCACAACTTAAGAATACTCTGCTCTTCATTTGAGCAGAATACCAGATTCTGCTAATGTAATAGTGCATGTTTAAGAATTTTTTAAATAATTAAATACCACAAAAATTTCAGACTTTTTTCTTCTGCCCTACTTAATATTTGCCCTACTCATTTAAATTTTGATTTGCCAATAGGGTAGCTAGGTGGTGCAGTGGATAAAGCTGCGGCCTTGGAGTCAGAAGAACCTGAATCCAAATCTGGCCTCAGACATTTGACACTTACTAGCTGTGTGACCCTGGGCAAGTCACTTAACCCCGATTGCCTCACTACTCCCCAAAAAAAATTTTTTTTGATTTGCCAATACAAATACAATTTCATAAAACTGTGGGATTTCAGTTCTGGAACGGACTTTATTAATGACAAAACTAAGAAAAGCAAAAGAAGTCATTCAAGGTCATGAGTAATGAGAAATAACTCTAGACCAGGAGTTGAGAGGCCTAGGTTTGAAATTCATCTCTCACCCTGATATCTAAGAATTGTATAATCAGTTTCCTTATCTTTAAAATGGGAGCAATTCAATATTTATTAAGTACTTGTCATGTGCAAAGAAAAAAAAATGGTGATCTCTACTCTCAATAACCTTACATTCTAGATACAAGACAAGCATAATAAATAATAGGTAGCATTTCTATAACAATTTAAGTTTTGCAAAACACTTTACAACATATGTTGTAACACTTTCACACTATACAAATATCATCTCATTTTATTATCACAACAACCCTGGAAAGTGCTATCATTATCCCTATTTTGCAGATGAAGAAACTGAGGCAAACAAAGTAAAGTGACTTGTCCAAGGTCCCACAGGTAGTCCATGGCAGAGATAGGATTCAAACTCAGGGCCCTGATTCTTTCCCCTCCATCACACTACCTCCCAGGAAGAGATGTCCACCTCATCCATTCATTTAGCCCAAAGCCTTCCTCACATCTTCCTTTTGGCTTCCCTGACTTATTGTAAGACTCAGCTCCAATCCCATTTTCGGTGGGAGGCCTTTCCTGGTCTATTCCCTGCCATGCCATTACCTGCCCCACCCCTAATTCCCATTGCCATTGCTGGGTTCTTCCCTCTGAGATTACTTTCCATCTGTAACTGTCTTGTAGGTACATAGTGTTTCCCCCATTAGAGTGTGAGCTCCATGAAGAAGGGACTGTGTTTTTGCCCTTCTTTGGATCCCCAAACTATCAGAGTGCCTGGCACATAATGAAGGTTTTTAATAAATGTTTTGTTGACTAATGAGCTCCCAGGTCCCTTCCATTCTAAATCTCTGACCTTTTGTGCATCTGAAATGTCACTATCCAAGTCATGTGTGTAGCCTACCTTCCCTTCTCCAAATCATCCTTTATCTTTAGGTCAAGGTTCAAAAGAATGCCAGGGAAAAGAACCAAACCCTAATTTCCAGGGCTGCCCAATGATATTTTTATGAATGAAAACTGAGTCATCTGGGGAAACACCAGGGCCTCCCACACGGCTCTTCTGATTCAGTCATTTCCTTCCATTATCCCTTTAAATATGGTCATTTGAACAGCTGTGACAATGGGGAGGCAGGAGACAGGGAAGAGCAACCTTTTTGTGGGTGGCATTGAGCCTAAATAGAAAAGAAGAACGCAGGAATGGGAGAAAACCTTGGCAGAAAGGTGTCTGAGAGAAAGGATGTCCCAGGCATGTGGAATGGTAAAGGAAGCCTGGACTTTGATTATTTCACCTAGAAATAATTATAATCATTATCATAATCCTAAGAACTCACATTTCTATGACAATCAGTATTGACATCGTCATCGTAGCAATAACTAGCATTTATATCATACCTACTGTGTGCCAGACACTTGCTTTATAAGAGCAGACCAGGAGTTCTTCATGTGAGACCCACAGAGGTATTTGTGGATAGATTTCAGGGGGTATCCATGAACTTGGATGGGGAAAAAATTACATTTTTACTTTCTTACATGTATGTATACATATATGTGTATATATTTTATGTGTGTGTATATATATACATATATATATACATATGTATATATATAAACACACACACATATGAGGGAGGGAGAACATGTATCTTTACCTTCATTTTGTGAAGGAAAGAGGTCCCGAGCAGAGACATGGGTCTTGTCCAGGACTTGGGCCCTCAGGCTGATCTAACTTAGGACAGAATTCCCACTTCACCTTGGATTTCAGAGCAGCTGCTTAGGAAACTACTCTCCCCATACCCCTCCCCCTAGCCCTTTTCCCAGTATTCACTCGGTTAAGCTTTTTAAGGTTAAGTGATTCATACAACCTGCTGCTTAAGGGCTTGGAAAATATTTAGAGAACAAGCAATGGGCCAGGAGGGCAGGTGATGAGCTGGAATCCGAAGTATAGAGCCCCTAAAGACTTTGAAACTCATCTGTGTTCACAATGATCTCTCTGGAGCAGCTTCAAGTAGGAAATATATTGAAATAATTTTCAAGGTCAATTGCACAATTAAAATTATTCTTGTTCTTGAGAGCTGAAGTGGCTGTGGAGATTAGTTACTGGATGCCACAAGCTAAGGTTTAATTTTATTCCCTTGAAAATGTATAGAATCATAGAATTTCAGAGGTGGAAGGGACCTTTAGGAAAGGCATAGACAAACTAGTGTCTCTAAGAGGGTGGCCAGGATGTGACAGGACTGTAGAATGTTCCATTTGACATTGCCAGTTTTCCTCATCCATAAAACGGGGAAAGGGAGCTGGGACTCGCTCCATCAGTCAACAAGCATTTATTAAGTACGTACTATGGCAGCTAGGTGGTGCAGTGGATAGAGTGCCAGCCCTGGAGTCAGGACAACCTCAGTTCAAATTTGTCCTCAGACCCTTACTAGTTGTGTGACCCTGGGCAAGTCACTTCACCTTGTTTGCCTCAGTTTCCTCATTTGGAAAATGGGCTAGAGAAGGAAATGGCAAACCATTCCAGTATCTCTGCCAAGAAAATCCCACATGGGGTCACAAAGAGTCATATATGACTGAAATGACTGAATAGCAGCAACAATGCACCAAGCACTGTGCTTAGCAATGGGGACACACATTGGACAAAAACACAGTTCCTGACCTTAAGCAGCTCATATTCTAATGGGGATGACAACATGCAAGCAAACTATGTATAGCCGGTAGGTAACGCAGTGGATAGTGTGCCTGTAATTGGAGTCAGGAAGACCTCAGTTCAAATCCAGCCTCAGACACTTACTAGCTGTTGACTCTGAGTGAGTCACTTAACTGCTCTCTGCCTCAGTTTCCTCATCTGTAAAATGAACTAGAGAAGGAAATAGCAAATCACTTCAGTATCTTTGCCAAGAAAACCCCAAATATGGGGCATGAAGAGTCAGACATGACTGAAAAAACAACTCAACAAGAAGTAGGAGAGTTAAGATGCCCAGACAGAGTTACAGTCCCAGCTCCGCTCCTTATTAGTAATATGACTTTGGGCAAAGTATTTCTGATCTCTGAAAGTTAACTTCATCTCGTGCGCAACGGAGACAGTAAATGCTTATCATCATAAGGCAGTTGTGGAGATCACACAAGATAATGGAGATAAAGAGCTTTATGATTGTCAAATGCTATCAACACTTCTACTGTCATTGTTCTGCCCTGGCACCAGAGGAGCCTACCGTTTCTGCTCCATAAAGATGCTTAAGGTGGAGGCAGGAAGTGTGTTCCATTGTGCCATGCTATCCTAGCCTGCCAGTAAACTGACCCCTGCGATTACACCCTCACTCCCAGAGCCACAACTAGGACAGGAACAACAGGGATTTGCCTCAGAGTACTGAATTCAGAGGAAAGCAGTTTCAGTCCTTCCAGTCACTAGGCTGAGCTCCTCCTGACTCTGCCCTGCCCTCCTCAAAGAAACCTCCCTGGGGGCAACTTCCCACTGGTGTGTGCCAGTATTCCAAGGTCTTCGCTGTTCCCCTCACCACTTGGAGGAGTGTCTGGCCCCTCCCACTTCAACAGCCTTACGCTGATGACCCAGAATCTCTAACTACAGCACCAGGTCTCTTCTACTGCCCATACAACTGAGACGTTTTTTTCATGTTTGCCCTAGGCACAAAAAAATCACAGTAACAGGTCAGTCCACCACTACCACTCCAAATCCAGTTCTTTTTTTTTTCTTTCTTTTTTTTAAATTAATTTATTTTGATTTATCAACAATCACTTCCGTATGCTTTTGAGTTTAAAATTTTTCTCCCCCAAATCCAGTTCGAACAGCATGAAGTACAAGGCTGCTGATGCTTGGATCTAGGCTCCAAGTGTAGGTGATACTGACTAATTTACCTTTTAGGTCAACTTTCGAAGGTCTCACTGCATTTTTGCTTCCCCTCACAGATACGTGGATTAATTCATGCAAGCCTGATACCGTCGTCACCAAAGACACAGTCACTCCCCTGACTGTATCGGCCACAACTGAATTTAATGTCAGTGACCCAGCAGATACAGCAACACCACCTCCAGCCCCAACACCTAAGCCAGCACGGCCAAGATGGAGCAAAAAATTAATTTGTGTGACAGAATTATATTTTGAAACAAGCACTATGGAACCTAGTACCGTGCCAGAAGTCATACCAACTTTTGAAGGCCAAGTTGCATTTAAGAATGAAGGTGTTACTTTTGGAGGTAAAGAAGGAGGGGAGAGGGAAGGAAATAGGCATTTATATCACCTGCTACGTACCAGGCACTGTGCTAAGTGAGTACTTTATGAGCATACAACTCTGCAAGATAGGAGCTGTTATTATCCCCATTTTACAGATGAGGAAATGGATGCAAATGTAGTGAATCATCTTGCTTGGGTTCACACAGCTAGTAAATGTCTAAGGCTGGATTTGAACTTAAATATTCCTGGCTCCAGGCCCAGCACTCCATTCATTGCATCACAAGGCAGTGTGTGTATTGTGTCTGTCTCTGCATGAGCGTACATGCTGGAGTCCACGGTATCAAGCAGCTGCAGAAACCAGTCTACTTGCAAAATATAGAGGGAGCCAAGAGCAGAAAGCAAGGTCCTAGGTCTTTTCCCTGGGTCCAAATGGAAGAAATTGAATCCCTCTTCTCTATAACAACCCTCCTAATAGCTGAAGTCAGCTTCAAATCATGAGGGACCAAGTTAAAGAGTACTGAATTTAGAGTCAGAGGCCTGGGGTTCAAATGCCACCTCTGGTACTGCCTGGGTGACAAGGTGGGATTGGACATCTCCAGTCCTCAGTTTTCCTATCTGTCAAATGAGAAGATTGAACTAAATGGCCCCTAAGTTCACTCCCAACTCTCAATCTATGATCCAGTGTCCTCCATCGATACCCCACCACCACTCCCACCTGAGTCTTCTCATAACTAGGCTAAGCGTTCTGATTTCACATAAAAAAATATAAATTTTTTTAAAAGTATAAAAAAATCAGAATTGGAAGAAAGTTTGGCAGCCATCTAATTTAATCCATACATGAACAAAACCTCACGACAATATCACCAAGTAACAGTCAAGGCTTTGCTTGAAGACTTCCAATGAAGAGAAATCCCTGGGGCCATTACAGTTCAAGATAGCTCTAATGGGTAGAGAGTTCTTCCTTAGATCAAGCCTAAATCCAACCCTTTGCAACTTTCTACGTTTACCCCTTGCTCCTAGTTCTTCCCTCTTGGGATAAGCAAAGCTAGTTTTCCACAAGATAGCCCTTCAAATATATGAAAATAACTATTATATCCAGGGCTCTCTTTTCCTGCATAACTAGTCCCATTTCTTTGAACCAATCCTTTTTTCTTCTTGTCAAAACTGTGCCTGAGCTGATTTTCTGAGTAAAATTTTACCCATGGAAACTTGCCTATTATTACTCTAAACCAGGGGTGGGGAGCCTGTGACCTTGAGGTCACATGTGGCCCTCTAGGTCCTCAAGTGCAGCCCTTTGACTAAATCCAAACTTCACAGAATAAACCCCCTATTAAGGGACCACACTTGAGGACTTGGAGTGCCACGTGTGGCCTCAAGGCTGCAGGTTCCCCACCTCTGCTCTAAACCCTTTGAAAATTGCCCTCCCCAAATCAAGGGCAAAAGTCCAATTATGCCTTCTCCCAGTCCTATTCCTCTCCTCTATCACAAATTAGAGTATGGAGTGATCACTTTCTTCCAAAGTTTCTATCATTTCCTCCCCAGCAACTAATTCCACCATATTGGTAAAAATTAGATCCAGTATGGAAGTTCCCTTCATTGGTTCTTCTATCTTTTAAAGAATTAAATTAGTATTAAAACAAGTATCTAGGTGGTGCTATGGATAGAGTCAGAAGGACCTGAGTTCAAATCCAGCCTCTGACACTTATTATATGTATGACTCTGGGCAAGTCACTTAATCTTGTTTGCCTCAGTTCCTCATCTGTAAAATGAGCTAGAGGAAAAAATGGCGAACCACTCCAGTATCTTTGCCAAAAAAAAAAAACCCAAATGGGGTCACTAAGAGTTGGACACAACTGAAATGACTCAACAACAAAAAAAAAAAGAAACTATTAGCTGCTCTTCTTTGTTCAAAGAGAGAGGTCCTGCTGATGTTCTGATCATCAAAAATCCCCCATAACTACCATGCTTTGCTTCTGAATCAGACTCACTTCCTGAATTCCTCTATATCCTCCTTCTGTCCAGGTGGTCTGTAGCATACTTTGATATTGATAATGCTTCTGTTTCCTCCTCTGTTCATCTTTACTCAGATGCCATTTTTCATCATGTTTCTCCCTTTTGTTTCCTAGATTTGCTTGCAAAACTATATTTTCCTTCTTAAGATACAGTGTTATTCTGCCCTTTTACATATTTTTCATCATGCCTTCAACGTAATGCCTTTAATGACATGGTTTCAAGACATGTTGGTTGCCCTCCTCTCAACACCTTTTGGTTTGTGTGGTCCTCCTAAAATGTGGTGCCCAGAACTGAACACAATTGGCACTTCAGATGTATTTCATCTAATACAGAACATACATCACAAAGCTATCACCTCTCTTGTTTTAGACACAATCTGATTAATATTACTGAAGTTTGGATTTTATTATGTAACAAAGATCTGAATCAGTCCCTATATGTAACCAGGGAAGATTTGTCAAAGACCTAACCTTAGCTCTTATCAATGCGTGCATGACCAAAGGCCGAAAATTACAAGTACACATTCAATCTCTTTGTTTGTCTCCAGGCTTACCTATCACACTCTTGGTTCTCGCTCTGATATTCTTCATTGCTGCAGTTGTGCTGGCTGTCTGCTATGTGAAAAGGTAGGTCTTTTAGCCTGTTCAACCAACTTGGTGGCATCTATAGATCTGTCCATTCTGCATGGAGTCTGAGAGACTGTTTGACTAAACAGATGTTTATCCAGTGTCTACTACCTGAAAGAACCTCTACTAAAGACTTCAGGAGATTAAATACAAAGATAGCCTGAGCCCTGTCTTCAAGGTCTCATGGGAAGATGGGGCAAGTACACCGATGACTACCATATAGGCAGAATAAAAGTTCCATAAAACAGGTTGACCAAGAAGGCATTAGGGGAGACATTACTTCTGATTAGGAGAATCAGGGGAAACTTTGTGGAGGGGGCATTTGAGCTGGGACATGAATGATTGATGAGATTTCCACAGGAGAAGTTATTTTGGGTGGGGAGGGAGAGAAGAAAGTGAAGGCATTCCAGTCACGGACAAGGCATGTTCAAGAGACAGAATGCAGCCGACATGGGCTGCAGCATAGAACACATTGAGGACAGAAGTAGGAGATAAGGCTAAACAGATAAGGTGGCATCCAATCATGGAGGGCCTTGAAGGCCAGGCTAAGGAGCCTAAGCTTAATACTGAAGTGGATATTATGGTGCATATTACATGGAAGTTTTTCACTTTTCATTTTGTTTTGTATCTCAAGGTACATGACCTCCTTCCCATTGACAAATAAGAATCAGAAAGAAAACATTGAGGCCAAAGGAGGAAAAGCAGCGAAGGCAGAGGACAAAGTTTCTAAGGAGGAACTAAAGAAAAATGGGAAAAGGGCAGAAGAACCCAAGGTGACGCCCAAGATGACGCCCAAGATGACAGTCAAGTACATGGAGGCTGAGGTTTAGGGGGGTCAGAGGGACAGCAGAAGACACACCTGGGATTTCTTTACTCTGCTCCAGGATCTGGAGGCCAAGGATACCTCATAACCTGAAAAAGCTCCTTGTATTTCCCCCCTAGAAGAAACTGCTGGAACCAATAGGTCCAAGCAGAAAAGCCCATAATCAATCCCTAACCAGAGGACTCAGGGTTCCCTGAGGATTAGGGAGCTCATTCAGATGACTTGCCTGTTCCCTCCTGCCACCTGCCCACTCCTGGGCTCTGTGTCTCCAAAGTGACCCCAGCCTAGACCCAAAGCTCCTATTCCCTAATAAAATCCAGGTGAGAGAAAGTGGATCTGTCTGGCCCCGATGTCTTAGGAACATTCCCTGTACATTTTTGTCAGGAAATCTTGTAGTGGCCTGGGAAGAGACCATCTATGACTAAAGAGTCCCTCGGGCCCAGTGCTGCCTTCCTTGTTTTCATATCAAAGAGCAAGGCTTCCTATAGCCCTGTACTGACCTGAGCTTAGATATCTTAGGCAGGGGAACGAATAGGAAAAGGGTCAAAATGGCAGGGAGTCAGGGGGGCGGGAAGGCCAGTGGACCTCCATGTGACATGGAACTAAAAGAAAGAAGGGAACCGAGATGCAAACAGCACATCATCTCAAAAAGTCTTAGACATACAAGGAATCTTTAGACCCTCTAGGCCAGTTTTGTGTCTTGGGCTCCTTTGGCAATCTAGTAAAGCCCATGGGCCTTTTTCCAGAATCATGTTTTTAAATACATTAAATAAATAGGATTCCAAAGAAAACCAATGATATTAAGATAAAGATATAGTTTTTCACACCCAGATTCGCAGAACCCCCTGAAATCTAAAAACTCCTGATCTAGTCCAATTCCCTTATTTATAAATGGGGAAACTGAGACCAGGGAGTAGAAGTGACTTGCCCATGATTTTACAAGTAACTACTTGTGGCAGAAACAGGATTTGAACCCAGGTCCTGTGCCTCTCTAAGCTGCTGTTCATGCCACTGTGCCACCCTGGCAAACCAGCTAGAATAAAGCTCATTTCTATAGCATATTAAGGTTACTAAAAAACTTTGACCTGAGCTGGTTCATACCCTTCTTAGATAGCTTGGCAGTTCCCAGTTCCCCTAGGTTCTCGCCATATTGATTCCCACCATCATTCTAGCCCAGAGCATTCCTAAATTCCTGAGCCAGAGTGGTCCTCCAACCTCAGCCTCCCTAGGAGCTAGAACCATAGGCAAACATAGTTCTCTTGCAACAACCCCGTAAGGGTGGGCGATGCAAGTATTGTCACACACACACACACACACACAAACACACACACACACACACACACACACACACACTACACACCCATTTTACAGATGTGAAAACTGAGGTGCATAGAGATTAGGAATCTTGCTCAGGGTCACTTACCCTAACATGCCTGAGTCAGGATTTGAACCCTAGATCTCCTGACTCAAAGCACTGACTAAACAGTAGGTTATAAACCCCGAAGGAACCATTCTTCCCCAGAGAACTTCAATTATGATCCTTTCTCAGCATGCACTCTCTCCTTTTGCTATTATTTTATTTTGGGAATGTATTGTCCCATAGCAATGTTAACAGGAGACAGACTAAACAACCATATCACAGCCTAGGACTTTCTGGCATACAGGAAATCTATCATCCTGAAGAAAATGACTGGGCCCAGAAAGTAATGACTGCAATCAGCAATTTCCTCTGTACGAACTCCCACGCTTCCTGAAGACCTTCTGAGATGTGGATGCTCCCTCCATCCACACATCCCAGCCCCATTCTCCTTAGTACCTTAGTCAATGGGCCTCCTGCGATGCAATGGCCCTGAAGTTCAAAGCCTGACCAGCTCCAGAGGACCTGATAGAACTTCCACTCCACCTTCAGCAGCCCAGGGTCCCCACCATGCCACAATGAGGCAGGAAAGGAAGACCCTAGAGTATTATGGAAATGTACCAAAAGAGAAAGCGAGAGACTTTGTTTCTACTCAATGACCTTGGGCGAGTCACTTTCACTCTGAGGGTCCCAGTTTGCTCATCTGTAAAATGGGGATAATAATACTTACCTACCTACCTCTTAGGGTTGTTGTGAGTAGAGCTCTTTGTAAATCTTAAAGCCAGGAGTGTGCTGATAAATATTTAATGACCAGCTCTTGGGGAGGGAGAGGGGGAATACACACAACACAATTTTAAATTTAATCTGCATAGGCAATCAATAGAATAATGAAGTAAGCTCTGATCTGTACTATTTGCCAATTTCCTAAATGTAAATGCTCACATTGAAAATTTAAGAATCGGCTCTAAGGGAGTGGTAGAAAGAGGTGGCTCTATTCCACCCCTGCTTAAAGCTGTATATAAAAATTGAGCTATCAGACTACCCATTTATAAAATACGGGCATTCCAACGAAATCATTTCTAAGGTTCCTCAATACCCTGAAATTCTGTGACCTGATTTTGTCAGACACTACCTTCTGGATAACCTTGAATGAGACCCAGCTCTAGTTCTAATCCTCTGTTAAACATTGGGCAAGTCTCGGTCCTCTCTCTTTGCCTCCATTTCTCATTTGTAAAAATGAGTTAACATGGAGTAATGGATAGCGTATTGGACTCTGAGCCGGGACTATCTGGGTTCATATCCTGCCTCAGACATTTACTAGCTACATGACTCTTGGCAAGTTATTAACCTCTTTGTGCCTCAATTTGCTCATTTATAAAATAAGAGGGTTGGATTAGATGGCCTCTAAGTTCCCTTCTGGCTCTAAATCTATGATACTATGACTCCATGAAAAGAACTCTCAGCTCTGATGTATTAGGATTCCGATGTATGTTTCTTTGTTTTAATTGTGAGTTCCTACAGCTATTCTACTTACTAAATGATGGTATTTTATGCTGGGACTAATATATTCTTCGATGAAGTATTTTCTCAACTGTAGTTGTAATCATAACCTTTATTTATTACAAGTGTATTCAAGGATTCTGTAAGTAAGCCATGGGTCCTGTTAGTACCATTGACTAATGTGCCATCATGGTCTTGGTCTTTCTTTCCGGTAAAGAAAGAACCTAGCATGTCCAAGTGTGCACTGAGGAAATAAAATCATTTAAAATAACTTTTGGTCGCCATGTTGGATTCCAAGGCACCATATCTACCTCTAGGGGAGTAAAAGTGGATAATGAGTCCAAACTTGACATGTTCTAAGTGATGAAAAGATGAAAAGAAACTATTAGGCTGCTATGAGGAAACAGAGATGCTGGGTGGCTGAAATGGTACTTCCTCTGTCCTCCATATGAAGAAATTCTACCAGGGAAGGATACCATGAGGCTCATGGACAAGCCAATGTCACTGACTGTTTGAGCTCTTCATCTGGGCCAATCAACTTCCTGTGGTTCTAATTGGTAGGGATATTGTTGCCACATCATTTGATGCTGAAGATAACTCAGCCAGATGGAAACAGGATGTGGGACTGATAGAAGATGTTAACTCAATCTTCCCTATTCTCCACCCTTTTCTTGATTTGGCATGGTACAGGGAAGAATTTGGGGTCAGAAGAGCCTGACTTTGCTGTGAGACTTTTAGCAATTATATACTAAACATGTGATCATAAGCAAGTCACTTAACCTCCCTGGGCCTCAGTTTCCTCAACTGTAAAATGGGAGGGTTGGACCAGATGGTATCTTGGGTACCTTCCAGCTCATGACCCACTGATCCTAAGTCACTTCACTTCATTCTTTGGGCCTCAGAAATTTCCTCATCTGGAAAATTATCAAGTGAGATGAGGTGACCTCCAATGTCCATTCTAGCTCTAAATCCATGATCATTACTATAGGAAGAAAGTCCCAAAAAGCAGCCCAGCCATGGGGAGTATGCTCGGCTCTTTTAGAAATAATGGAAACGGCAGAAGCCTTGATTGAGCCCTCAGGCTGCTTCTTGGTGTCTCTCTCCCCTCTCCCCCTCCTGCTACCAGAGCTGGGGTCCTCCCAGCTGGAACCCTGAGTGTCCCAGCGTGAATGCAGCCCTGTGCCACAATGAAAATTCTTTTTCATCAAAGAAAGGGAAACTCAGTCCCCCCTGGAAGAGAATTTACAATAAAACGTTCAAGCCAAAAGGAATCTTACAGATCATTTGCTTCAACCTCCTTATTCTACACATGTGGAAACCGAGGCTTAGAGAGAACTGACCGGCCCAAAGCCACTCTGGGAGTTAGCAGACAGCTGGGACGAGAGTTCAGTTGTCCTGACTCACAGCTCAGTGGACTTTCACCTGCCTCAAACCTGAAGCTGGCTGCTTCTCAGCTGTGTGAGAACATGTATATTTCAAGAAGTGACTATAACTAGGAACACCCAGCTTTGGGCCACCAGAAATGCCCAGCTCTGAGTGCAGGCACACAGAGCTGATGTAACCAAGGATGTCTGCCTTTAGTTTCCGAGAGATGAATGCCTCTTCCTGTCATGTCATGGAAAGTTCTAGGCATGAGCACTGCCACTGCTAGGTCTTCACTAGCCTCAGACCCTTACTAGCTGTGTGACCCCAGAAAAGTCACTTAACTTCTGTTTGCCTCAGTTTCCTTATCTGTAAAATGAGGATAATAATAGCACTCTTTCCCAAGGTGATTGTAAGAATCAACAGTGCCTGGCATATAGTAGTTGCTACATAAATGTTAGTTATTATTTTTGTTGTTGCTGTTTTTCATCCTGTATGTATCTTAGGGAAGAACTGGGAGCAGGCAACAGGCTTTATTGTAGGAGACGGCTTCTGACTCAAAGAAATATATGAAAATGAAGAACAAATTTTCATAGTTCCTTTTGGGGTGAGGGAAAGATACAAAAGGCTAAGGTGACATCAATTCATCTTTTTAAATTATGAACAGGAATAGATCAAGAAAGTCCCCATTGGAGGGGCAGAGCCACGATGGCGGAGTAAAAGCAGTGACTTGCTTGAGCTCTCCCCTAAACCCTTCCAAATACCTGTAAAAAAAATGACCCTAAATTATGAACAAGGATCATAAAATGTTAGTCAGTAAATACAACTATATTATACTTCCTGTGAAGGGAAGGGGCTTTGAGAGGAAAACTGAAGAGAAAGACAAAGGGAAGAGGAAAACTGAAGAGAAAGAGAGGGAAGGAAATAAATCAGCAAAGGAGAAAGGAAAAAAAACTAGCAGAGGAGGAAAGGGGGAAGAAGAGACAAAAGAAAACAGAAAAGTAAAGAGAGGGAGGCTGAAGTGGAGAGATTAAGAAGACAGAGAGATATGAAGAGGGAGTGATGAAAACAAGCAGGATCTGCTCTAAGAGTTTCCCTCACAATAGCCGTGAGAGA